TCACGCGGAACCTGTAGCGACTCTTCAAGCGGTTCTAAATGAATTATCAATATTTCTCGGACGACACCATACCATAATATCTTTTAGCTTATTGAGTTTTAGTACATGTCTACAGGGTTTTCGTCAGCTAATTAATCATTCAACCACTAGTTACTTGCCTTTGGAGTTACGAACAGTCCTGCCACCGCTTGACACTGAATAACAAATGTATATTTGTGACCACCGTATCCGTCTTGCTCTTGAGTACCAGTCAGTAAGAACTTGTATAGTACCAGTAGGTCCCAAAATGGCCTCTACGATCGACAAATGGACAGGCTGATGTGTAATTCTGGAGCTCTTGCATGACTAAATCGCCTCACCGCACTATCTGTGGCGTACCTTATTCCAACACAGTAAGGTTTTCTTCAGTTTTTGATCGGTCACCTTCCGCCTTTGTTCTGCTGACCCTAAGACGACTTAGTGACGGCTCACTACAACCAGTTGTTATTGGGGAAACTATCCGAAATCAAATTAGTTGGTAATAACGGTCCCTCAAGAAACAACCTTCCACGGTGTGGGCAGCCTGGAAGTGACAGTCGCCCTCGTACCCGTAACAGCATATGAGACCGAATTGGTCAAAATCAAATCCTTCCTACACCCCCTAATACCTCTCTTATCTCCACAACAAACTCTACTCACAGTCCTTTTTCTCACCGCACCGCTAATGCAGACGAAGCGAGTTCACGAAACGTCATTCCTGGTCTCTTGAAACCCCGTTCTAGACTACATGTTGGAGCTTTTAATGTACGGACATTTTGTTAAGTAGGGCAACAAGCTTCCTTATCTAGGACTTTAGAATCTCGTGCCATCGATGTGTACTGTATCTCGGAAACGCGCATACAGGATCCTAGTAAAATTATTAATCTGATTTCACCTTGTCAAAATAAAGAAGCAGATCGATTTACTCTTGGTGTATTTGGAAGTCCTGATGCTGCTTCCCGGGGTCTTGCTGGCGTAGGCATAGCATTAAGTCGTAGAGCTGAACAATCTCTCCTTGACTGGATCCCAGTAGATAGTCGCTTGTGCGCTGTCCGACTAAACGGGACAGTAGGGACTCGGAAGGTTAGGGACACTCGCCGTCGCCTCTTCGTCGTATCTGTCTATGCCCCCACTGACTGTAGTTCAGACGAGGTGAAAGATGAGTTTTACAGAAAGCTTTCGGACCTCCAAAAAGCTAGGCGCTCTGATATAGTAATAATGGCTGCTGACTTTAATGCTCAAGTAGGTAGACTAAGTGTAAATGAAAGACACCTTGGTGGATGTTATGGTGTCGCGGCTCAAAGAACAGACAATGGTGACCGTCTGTTGCAACTATGCTCAGATAGTCGCTTATTCCTAGCAAACACCAACTTTAGGCATAAGGAAAATCATCTCTTGACCTGGTGATACCCAAAGTCGTCTCAACGTTGGACCCAACTAGATCACATTGCCATCAGCCACCGATGGAGGGGTTCGACAGAGAACTGCCGCTCGTTCCGGGGCACATGTTTAGATTCAGATCATGCCCTAGTGCAAGCGCGTATCTGTTTGAGGCTTACAGGGCGTAGGAAAGACACCGTAAGAAAGCCTCTTAGGGTTTTACTTAATGATAATCAAACTAAGAAAATATTTCAGGAGCAACTACAAAGAGAGTTAAGCAACCATGTAAGCGATTCCCATCCAGAAGCAGGTTGGTATGATATCAAAAAGACTATGGAAACAGCAGTGATATCTGCTAATAACGTAAACCATAAGTCTAGGATGAAGTCGCGGATCTCAATAGCATCTACCGAACTGATGGATGCTCGAAAACTCATCCCGCCTGGCTCTGAGTGCGATGAGGAGCGGAGTCAGCTTAGACGTAGGCTGATAAAAAGCCTACGCAATGATCGAGAACAGTGGTGGGTGGAGAAAGCGAGAGAGATGGAAAAGGCAGCGGTGATAGGCAACAGTAGGCAACTATTTAGACTCATCAAGGAAACTGGTATTAGGAATCCTAGTGTGAGTGAGACTATTTCGGAAAAGGATGGTCTTATTATCCATTCCCAATCCAGGAGACTGGACCGATGGGCAGAACACTTTAAGGATCAGTTCAACTGGCCTCGAGCCACTCTTCGGTTACCCGCGATCTCCAGTCATCCTGAATGGCAAATCGACGTCAGTCCCCCTAGGCTTTACGAAGTTGAGAAAGCGTTAGGAAATCTGGAGCGAGTACGAGCTGCAGGTTCTGAGAGATCAACCGCTGACACATTTAAGGATGATGGTCTAGTTTTAGCAGCTAGGTTTACTGAGTTCCTAGGTGGAATCTGTAAACTGGACATCGCTCCATCCTACTGGTCTCAATCACTGTTTGTCTCAATCCATAAGAAAGAACAAAAGTCTTCTTGAGACAATCACAGGGGAATAAGTCTAACTTATATAGTTTCTAAAATATTGTCCTCAATAATACTTCGACGCTTAACAAAACCTCGTGAAGAGCAGACTCGAGGAAACCAGTCTGGTTTTCGATCTGGACGTGATTGTATAGGCCACATTTTCACACTACGAAAGGTCCGGGAACACAGACACACATAGGTGTCCAACAATAGTTGTCATCCTGGACCTTAAGGCGGTATTTGACTCAGTGGATCGTGAGGTTCTGTGGCAGTGTCTGTCATTGAAAGGTGTACCAGAGAAGTACATTAACCTCATACAAGCTCTCTACTCAAACACCACTGGTCGAGTGAGAGCTTATGGCGAACTGTCACTGGAATTGATTACTTCGAGTGGTGTCCGTCAGGGCTGTCCACTCTCCATTCTTGTTTAATTTTATCATAGACATGCCCCTAGAAATAACCTTATCCTCGTCTGAATTTTCAGGATTAGACCTTTTATCAGGAGGCTCGCTTATCGACTTAGAATATGCCGATGGCATAGTCCTACGTGGTGAAGACGCTGACAAAATGCAGAGCCTTCTGACTGCCCTAAGCAACAATGCAAGCATATTCGGGACGCGGTTTTCCCCCTCGAAATGCAAAATGTTGCTTCAAGACTGGGTTGCATCGGCACCTGAACAAGTGATAGGGAGTGAAGTAGTCGGGCGTGTCGACCGCTCCACTTATTTTGAGAGTTTCATCAGTGCTGATGGTCTGGTGACTGACGAAATCTCAGTACGGACACAGAACGATCGATTGGTGTTTTCCAACCTGCGTCACTTATGGCGTAGGCGAGATATCCGTTTGCTGACTAAAGGACGAGTGTACTGCGCAGTAGTTCGCTCCGTCTTACTTTATGGCGGTGAAACATGGCCAGTGAGAGTAGAAGATATTCTTAGGTTACTGGTTTTCAATCATAGTTCTCTTCGAAGCATTGCTCGTGTATTGTGGGACAACCGAGTGAGCAACGCTGTTATTAGGAAACTGGTGCTAGATAAGAATGTGCTGTAACTTCATCATTTGAGGTGGTTGGGACATGTGTTGCGTATGCCTAACCACCGACTGCCTCGTCGAGCTTTGTTTTGTAGTGTAGGAATAGGTTGGAAGAAAGCTAGGGGCGGCCAAAACAAAACATGGCACAAATGCATGAACTCATTGACAAGTGAACTGAGTCATGTCGGTAGTTGTCGACTACCTGGTTGGGGTCCGCGAGATGATAATAATCGATGGTTAGATACCCTGAATGACATGGCTCAAAACCGTTTGCAGTGGCGCCGGTGCATTTATTCTTTGTGTTCTCTCAAATCCTAATCTTCTGGATTCTTCAACCCCTCTAGTTTTGACTTTCTAAACTTTTCTCATTGAATCATACTTCTTGAATAGTATCTTCTAATCCTAACCTCTTCGATTACTTCTAATACCTTTACTACCTCTTCTACTATTGGATTTGAATTGACAATTACATCTCTATGCTGATGTGGTATGGCAATATGAACTGTTGTACTTATGTACGAAGTTCTACGTTGCATCTGACTGACTGACTGACAATTTCTCATTTCGCTGTGTTTCTTACATATCGCACACAAGTACTGAGATCAGTGCCTTATGACGAAGGGCAGTCTTTTATTAACATCGAAACCACTGTACTCAGCGATAATAATTCAGTTATGTTCTTTTTATTACACAGCTTAACGTTTTCATATTCTCAGTGAAACATCCACATTGCTTTACATGCCGTTCCTATTAATAACTGCTGTTAATAATACTGTTATTACCATTTTTGCTGTAAATAAAACTCATCAATATATATTCTATTCCACGTTTTTATGTAAATAGTTTAAATCCATTGGTCATAACTCATCACTTTAAAGTATGTAATTCTTATTTACCCTCCTCGTATGATCTTTTTAACCTAACAAACGGCATTTAAGATTTAGTCGACACAAAGTCGAATATTTTTGGTTGTATGTACTGTTTAGACCCACCAGGACGTTTAAATGTATGGTTTAATATTTTGCTCTTGTTAATTTCATGGAGCACATGCCACCAACCTGTAATCCCCAACATACTCTGTTGTGTGCTCTTCTTTTCAATTCTTCCCAAGCACTATTCATTTCCTTCCTCCAGTTCCCTATGCAATGTGTACTTCGGTCTTCTCTTTTCCTTGAAGCTACCAACCTAGGGCTTGCCCTGTGGCAATTTGGTGATTTCCGCAACGTATGTCCTCTCCACATGGTTATTACCATGCTAGTCAGTGAGGCTCTGTCACTCAGTATCAGTCAAAGTTTGAATAACTTAGTGGTAGGGTCTGTGGTTTTGCTTAAATGCTAGCTTCTAATTTTCAAAATCTACCCAATTACCGTCTACTAACGTATCCCCCTTTGTAGGAAGTCTATGTTCAACACAACTTTTTACTGATTTCCTCAAGTTCTTCAGGTTCAAAAATATAATATTCGTTTTCTTCTAGCACCTAAAAATCTTTGACCTATATTCAAGCCAATCATCAGTGTTCACTGTTTTATCTATTTATAGATTCGTTCCAGTCAGCACTATATTGAATAAACTGCAATGCATTTTCCCTATATACTACCCACAAGTACATCCAAATTCTTTTCATATCTTCGTCCCCATTTTATACGGCATATGGTGTGTTTTCTGTTTGTTGTTAATCTAATTTTTCAACAGTCTTCTCATATTAAATCAGAAACGCTCAACAACGAGGTACACCTCTTAACACTGAATGATCCTGTTAGTGCCAATTCACTTTCTTTGCCGTTGATGAAAGAGTTACTCATGGCTTTGGAGTCTATCAAGTCATCACAGAATATCAAAGCTTTAGTGATTACAGGTGAAGGAAAATTTTTTTCTTCCGGACATAATCTTCAGGAAGTTATCAAGATTTCGGATACAAACTCTAAAGAAATTTTTTCTACAGCATCAGAGGTAAATTGATTTATATTCTATGTTGTTTCAGTATCGGTTGGCTTTGGCACTCGAATTAATGATATCGAATGAAGTAGTTCAACGTGCTGGCCGGTTCAATTATCTCGGGAGTCTTATCAATGCTGATGGCCTGGTGTCAGTAAATCTCGGCACGGAAACAGAAGGCTCGATTGGTTTTTGCCGACTTGTGTCAGTTGTGGTGTAGAAGAGATATCCGTCTACTAACCAAAAGATGAGTTTACTGCGCTGCAGTTCGCTCTATCCTACAATAAGGGTATGAAACATGGCCAGGAGATATTCATAAGTTACTAGTATTCGATCATAAGTGTCTTTGAAGCATTGCTTGTATATCTTTTGACTACCGAGTAAGCACTGCTGAGGTTAGGAAAAGAGTACCAAGTAAGGATAGCCGATCCATGGATAGAGTAGTGAAACTTCATCAGTTGAGGTGGTTGGGATATGTGATACGTATGCCTAACCACCGGTTGCCTCGATGAGTGATGTTTTGTGATGTAGGGGTAGGCTGGAAGAAAGGCGAGGGTGGTCAAACCAAAACATGGTACAAATCCATTGAGTCACTGACATGTGAACTAACCCATGTTAGTAGGTGTAGACAACCAGGTTGGAGTCCTCAAGACGATAGTAACAGATGGTTAGGGACTTTGAATGACATGGCTCGAAATCGTTTGCCATAGCGTAGGTGATCGAATACTAGTATTTTATGAATATCCTCTATTCTCAGTGGCCATGTTTCATACCCTTATTGTAGGATGGAGCGAACTGCAGCGCAGTAAACTCATCTTTTGTTTAGTAGACGGATGTCTCTTCTAGACCACAACTGATACAAGTTGGCAAAAGCCAATCGAGCCTTCTGTATCCGCGCTGAGATGGCAATGTTGTCTCTAAAAGCATGTCCATGACAAAGTAGAATAGGAATGGAGCAAGTGGACAATCCTGCTGACAATCCTGCGCTAACCACTACCGATGACAGTTCGCCGTAAGCTCTCACTCAACCCTTAGTGTTCGAGTAGATAGCCAGTAGAGAGGATTTACTTGTGAACAAGTTGATTTCGTGTTCGGTTACGGGTGTGATGGTGGATATCACTTCCCGGATGCACACACTGTGGAAGGGTAATTCTCGAAGAACATGAAAAAGAAGGCAGATTAGTGTTGGTCTCAGAGACCTGGAGCGTGACCACAGAGCCCAAGGGACAACTGATGGAGGCCCGACACGCACAACCTTTTTATGGGTAGCTTTTAAAATATTAGCTCCACTCTTATTTAAAAGGCACTACCACCGGAGACGGAAATCCGTGAGGTAAGGTGACATCTTGATGGTCAACGTTTTTCAAACCCCCTCCTTCCTTGTGAGAAGGCGGCATTACTAAAGAATCTGGTTGTCTGAGGGAAACACCTTACTGCTGTCATGCCTCTAGAATTAGCAGTAAGTACGACTTCCGCCTCAGACTTTGCAGTTGCTGCTTTTAGTCTAACCGTTCTCTAATCAACCAGTCTGAATGGTATAGTAGGACCTGCAGGAACATATGTTCCGGCCAATATTGTTTGGTTAGGTTATAATAATAGGCAAACCCGACCACCGCATCAAGGTTGCAGCCACGGTCGGGTGATTAGTTTCAGTTGTGGTGAAATAAAGAATATTTTTACTGAATTGGTCGTTGGCTCATGATGACCTGAAAGGAGCTCAATGGTGTGCAAGTTATCATCTTCAGGAGTCATTACTTATGACTCAGAGCTGAATTATTTAATATGTATTAGTCAGTTTTTTTTGTCGCCTTTAGTTGTTTGATTTTATCACTTCTCTTTACTTACTGCATTGCCATATTGCCTCGTGTCGCGAATTTACGACTCCTTATTGTAAGTGTATAGATAATATCTAGGAAATTTGTTTATCACAAGAAAAGAAGTTCATATTGTTAGTATATGACTCCGAATAATGACTACTAAGCTTACGGATTACCTAAGCTTATCAAATAAGCTTATTTCTGTTTAATACCGTTTGAGGAAATGTGATTGGTCAAGCCGATATCTATCTGCTTCGGTTTAATCACTCAGGTAGTAATAGCAGTTATCATAATATGGGTGTGATTTAAACATGAACCTAATCTTGTATGTAAAGTATTTTGATATGGTTAACAAAGTTCATCTAAATTCCTATGGTCAAAATCAGTTCTAATAAATCATTTATAATTTGACCTACCGAGAATTATCAGCTCTCAAGTATGGAACTTAGGGAGAAGCCGATGCACATTGATTTTCAGTAAACTTCATCATCTAACTTCCACTGTATTTTCATGTGTATCAATTTATTCAATGTGCATTTGGTTTATTTTATTTCCAATGCGTGTACAAGTGACGAGTAGTCAGTTTGATGCATTTTAAAATCAGTTATCAGCATATTTAATCGTTAGCTTGTTCAATTAACTCCAATTCAATTTAATTCGTCTGTGGTCTTGATCAATATATCTGTCTCATAAGACACGGTGCGATAATTTTAGAATTGTTACATATTAGTCATCTGATTTATCCATTTTGCATAGATCTCGGTCTCATAATGGAAGACTCTCCCAATCTCTCGAAATCGGAAAATTTCGTGCCGTATTCAATTTTAATCTACAACAAGGTTGTAAGTATATGTCTACAGTTACTCTCATTGTCATTTCTAGTAGTCGAGAGGAAATCCTGAACCTTGATTCCATGTTATTTGAAACTCGTCAGTAAGGTTTGCCTGTAATTTTCATGGAACTGGTGCTTCCTGGTGGGTTCACTCCATTGCCACCCAGCTATTAGGTCCGCTACTGACCGCTTGTAGAACTGAGATGTATATTCAATTGACGGACCATCAAGGAGCTTCAGTGCCCTCGAGACTACAGATAATGTACCGTACTAGTGGGAAACCGAGGCTCAGAATTTCCTGACTATATTAACTCCAGTTACCACTCTATATCTCAATAGAGTGTTTGCGACTTCGGGTCTCTTAAACTAGCGGACACATTATAACTAGATCGATAGAATTCAATTAACAGTGAAGAAAGACTTGATATATATGAAACTGATCATTACTACTGAGTGATTAATCAATTGTGAAGAAAGGAAGTATATAATTTGAAGTTAATTGTAAAAGTCATTATCTTCATTTATTTGACTTTTACACAAATTAATGCATCCTAAGGTTGATGCTGTTGTTTATTTTCTGAATTATTAGATTATGAAAGAATTAGCCGAATTTCCTATACCATCGATAGCAGCTGTAAATGGTCCTGCTATCGCTGGAGGTTGTCAATTAGTTGCAGCTTGTGACTTAGCAATATCAGCTAAATCTGCGATATTTTCAGCTGGTGGTATTAAACTAGGATTATTCTGTAGTACACCTGCTGTATCATTAGTTCGAGCGATTGGATTGCGAGCTGCTAACGAATTGCTTTTAACAGGTAATAATCAGCAGATTTATTCTCCATATGTATAATTAAAAACTGAATCAATTAACTTTGTACAAAATGAATCAGTACAAATGGAAGCTCATTGAAATTCAGTAAAAAAATTTTTACTTCAAATCTGTGTGTGTGAATTTTAAAATTATTTCCTTTCTAAATGTTGTTTTGGGGAATTTAACACCCTAAACACACTATTTTTCGGCTCATACTGGTAAACTAAAGTTTGTTAGTTTAGATATTGAGTTTCTTATCAAATCCGACCGTAGCTGCTACCTTGACGTGGTGGTCGGGTTTGCCTATTATTATAACCTAACCAAGCAATATTGGCCGGAACATATGTTCTTGCAGGTCCTACTATACCATTCAGATTGGTTGATTAGAGAACGGTTAGACTAAAAGCAGCAACCGCAAAGTCAAAGGCGTGACAGCAGTATGGTGTTTCCTTTGGACAACCAGCTTTTGTAACAATGCCGCCTTCTCACAAGGAAGGAGGGGGTTGGAAAACGTTGATCATCAAAATGTCACATCTCACCTTACCTCACGGATTTCCGTCTCCGGTGGTAGTGCCTTTTAAATAAGAGCGGAGCTAATACTTTAAAAGCTACCCATAAAAAGGTTGTGCGTGTCGGGCCTCCATCAGTTGTCCCTTGGGCTCTGTGGTCATGCTCCAGGTCTCTGAGACCAACACTAATCTGCCTTTTTCAGGTTCTTCAAGAATTACCCTTCGACAGTGTGTGCATCCGGGAAGTGACATTCGCCCTTATTCCCGTAACGGCACACGAGACCAAATCGGTCACAGTCAAATGCTTTCTTCACTCCCTAACATCTCTTTCATCCCCACGGCTAATACTTTTCACATTCATTTATCACCCTGCACCACTAATGGAAACGATTTGAGTTGATGAAACGTTATTCGTGGTCCCCTGAAACCTCTTTCTCAACCACATGTTGGATCTTTTAACGTTCGAACCTCCTGCCAAGTAGGGAGACAGGTTTATTTAGCTAGGACTCTGGAATCCCTTGCATAAGGCAAAACCTCTCGACCTGGCGACCCTCAATGCCGACCCAACTATACCACATTGCTATCAGACATCGGTGGAGAAGCTCTGATTCTGAAGCACTTGTTTAGATTCATATCATGCTTTAGTGCGAGTGAGTATTTGTTTATGACTTACTAGACGTAGGAAAACACCTCAAGGAGACTTCCTAGGACTTTACTTAATGATAGCATAGCTAAGAATATATTTCAGGAGCGACTATAACGACAGTTAGGCGACCATGTAAATGATTCCGATCCCGCAGCAGCTTGGAATGATATCAAGACGGCTGTGGAAACAGCAGTGATATCTGCTAATAAGGTAAACCATAACGCTAGCAAAAAGCCGCGGATCTCAGCAGCATCCAACGAACTGATAGGTGCTCGTAAACTCATCCCACTTGGCTCTGAACATGATGAAGAGCGAAGTCAGCTTAAGCACAGGCTGATAAGAAGCCTACGCAATGATCACGAACAGCGGTGGGTAACGAAAGCGAGAGAGATGGAAGAGGCAGCGATAATAGGCAACAGTAAACTGTTCCGACTTATCAATGAAACCGGTATTAGGAACCCGAATGTGAGTAAAACTCTCTCGGGAAAGGATGGCTGTATCATTCATTCTCAATCCAGGAGATTGGATCGATGGGTAGAACACTTCAGGGATCAGTCCAACTGGCGTTCAGCCACACTTCGGTTGCCCACGATCTCCAGTCAACCTGATTAGGGAATTGATGTAAGTCCCCAGACTCTTAATGAAGTTGGAAAGGCTATAGAACATCGGAAGCGACGTAGAGCAGCAGGGCCTGTCAGGTTTACCTTTGGGATTTTTTAAGAATGCTGGTCCAGTTTTAGTAGTAAGTTAGACTAAGATCTTAGATAGAATCTGGGAACTGGTCTCAATCACTGATTGAGACTTGTGGTGGTCCCCGATTGTCCCAATTCATAAGAAAGGACAAAAGTCTTCTTGTGACAATTACAGGGGAATCGGTTTAACTAATATAGTGTCTAAATTTTTAGCCTCGATGATACTCCAACGCTTAACGAAAGCTCTTGAAGAGCAGACTAGAGAAAACCAATCTGGTTTTCGACCTGGACGTGGCTGTATGGACCACATATTCACACTACAACAGGCCCGAGAACACAGACACATTTAGGCGTCCGACAATAATCGTCTTCCTGGACCTCTAAGCGGCATCCGACTCTGGTGATCGTGAGGTTGTGTGGCAGTGTCTGTCATTAAAAGGTTTACCAAAGAAGTACATTATCCTTCTACAAGCTCTCTACACTGAAAATACTGGTCTGGTGAGAGCTTATGGCGAGCTGTCTTCGGAATTGATTACTTCAAGTGGTGTCCGTCAGGGATGTCCACTTTCTCCATTCTTGTTTAATTTTGTCATAGACCTGCTTCTAGATATAACATAATCATCGTCTGACTCTTCATGAGTGATCCTTTTGCCAGGAGACACGCTTCCTGACTTAGAATATACTGATGACAAAGTCCAATCTGGTGAAGACGCTGACAAAATGCAGTCTTTTGACTGTCGAAATGTCAAATGTTGCCTCAAGATTGGGTTGGCAGTCCGTACCTGAACTAGTGATAGGGAGTGCAACTAGATCGAACGTGTATACCGCTATCAACTTATCTGGGGAGTCTCATCAATGCTGATGGCCTGGTGACTGACGAAATCTCAGCACGGATACAAAAAGCTCGATTTGCTTGTTGCCAACTTGCATCATCTATGCCGACAGACGAATACTATCCGTCTGCTAACCAAAGGACCAAGTGTTCTGTGCAACAGTTCACGGACCCCGTCCTACCTCATCTCGTAGATCAAATAATCAGTTTTGATTACCCTTTACTATCTCCACTGCTATGGGATTTAACTTGGCAATTGCATCCCTCTTTATATGTGGTACGGTAACTTGTACTAATGTTCGTACATACGAATTTCTTCTACCTTATAACTGACTGACATGTCCTAACCACTTAATGGATGTAAGATTACAGACTAATTTTCACCTAGTACATTATTACTCTTAAACCTCATCATAACACATAATTTGCGAGCAACGCTTAGAAAATCCTAATGATCTAACACTTGCTTTTGTTATATATATATTTACCATAGAATGTTTCACAGCAGTAGATTAATATCGGCAAAAACGTCTATGGAGAATGCTTGTTTCGATGGACATATGAACTGTCAGCGACACTAACTCCACTAGGTGATGTCAGTAGTTCCTGACGAAAATATCCTTAAACTAGACTGACTAATCTCTACAAATTTCCTCGCTAAATAATTTCATTTTTCTTCTCATGACGACTTATCATCAATGTTATTTTATTCTATACAAAAAAAATCACAATCCCATTCTCTGCGATCTTTCTGAAGAAGAAGAATAAAACTTATTATTCTTTATATGAAAATGTTAAACCAATCAGGGCAATTTGAGTGATAATCACAATGAAATGAAAAAGATTACGTAACTACATATAATAGGCAAAAGTTCAAGTGGATAGTAGGAAAACAGGTGTACTGATAGTAGTAAGAAAATTTATAAAATATGATAACTAAAGTAGGTCAAGGGTGGATGAATAGAATTCAGATAATCATCAAAAACATCAAAAACATTACGTAGAATATATATAATGTCAATCGTTAGTTACGTCATATCTGGCCACAGAAGAGATAGGGGTGTAACGAATTGCTTCTGAACACATAAATTAGGGTTGAATGTACGTATTCCTATTGGCTTCTGCAATGTGTAGGAGACGGGATCGAACTCCGTTGGGAAATGATGGAGGTATACGATAAGATCACGCGAAAAGATCTCGATTTATCTACAATGTGACCACTATCTACCAGGTGTGCTAAGATAGAACTGCGTATTGTTTTTGACTGATCCTTCGTAAACCATGCTGGGAGATGTTCATTCATTCGTTGTGTAAGTTGCCTGGAAGTACTCCCGATATAGCTATCTCCACAGGAGCAGCTGAATTCGTAAATGCACATAGAGGAGGCCAGCTCAGGTAACTTATCCTTCGTTTGAGTAGACATCGCAGGTCGACTGGAGAAAGTCAATGCAAGTTTGGCAGCGTTGAATGTTCTGTTAATTACTCTTCTTAATCTATCCTGCAGAGTATTGCAGGCCACATCTCCGTAGAATTGTAGCTTCATAAATAAAGGCTTCTTTTGGGCGGTCGAAACCACCGACTTCTTTTTTACGGCAGACATATACTTCTTTATGAATGCGCTGGGATATACCAATCTCGGTTAGTGAGCCGTTGATGAATTCCAGCTCCTGACTTAAAGAGTAAAGCCTGATGACGATCTAATCGAAAACAATATTGTTCGCATTTATGTGTTGTTCTAATTTTCACAATGGGAATCTTTAAATTATTATTCTTTGTAGGTAAATGTATCAGTGCTGCTAGAGCCTATGAATTAGGTCTTGTTCATCGTGTAGTTGAAGATGACAAACTATATGAAGCATCTATTGAATTCGCCAAAGAAATTACTCAACATAATAAAAATGTTATACAATTAGGTCGAGAAACTCTTCACAAACAAGTAAGTTTATG